GTCAGATGGATGTAAGGGAAACTGAGGTGAGGAGGGGGCTCCCCCTGCTACAGGAGATGCACACACCTCCCAGAGGCTCACAGCCACAGAGGTAGTCTGCCACCACCCCTTAACCCTCACAAGACACAGGCAGGTAGGCTTCCACAACCCCCAGATCTCACATGGTTGCCATCACCAGCTGCCACTCAAAGACAAGTGAAAGGTAGACTGCAAAGAACAAGTCCCTAACCCTTTGAAAGTCCATGCCTTCCCTCCAGCTCCCATCCCACCCTCTCCAACCTCTTGGCACAGGAAAAGCTTGAGCTTAGGGGTCAGAAGGGGATCCACCTCCCAAGCGTGCCACTTGCCAGGTGTGTGACCTCAGGGCAAGTCAATTCCCACCTGGACAACTCCGGTGCTAACTCACCCGGGAGGACAGTGGTTCGGATATGAAGGGGCACGTTCTCAGCTGGTGGGCACCTCTGTCCCATCCCTCTCTCTGCCCTCCTGTCCTCTGACAGGACCTCTCCAGTTCCTCAACCTCCCTCCTGTTTCTAGTCAGTCCTGAGGCTGGAGTCCTCAGGACATGCAGAGAAGGGCCCCAACCCACTGAAAGTGGGGGTTGGGGGCGCTGAACTTTCGAACCCGCAAACCCCCCGCGCCGTTCATTACCTTAACGCGAGTTAAAAATAACCGTCTCATCTCTTTAAATTAGTCTGTCTGCAATTACCGCCTGGCACGGCGCTGCCCGCCATCGTCCCGCTGGAGGGGCGCCAGGTGGCAGGCGGGGCCCTCACCCTGTCTGTCGGTCTGTCTGCCTCTTGTTCACCCCTCCCCCGCGGCGCGACTACCCCAGGGTCCTCCCAGTGGCCCCGCCTCCCGAGCTCCCCACGTTGCTCGGGGAGGGGGGCGGCCATGGGGCGGCCATGGGGCGGCGGGGAGCTAGGGGCTCCGTGGGGAGCTGAGCACAGGGTGGAGGCGTCGGGGCACGGCGGCGGGGGAGGGGCGCCGGGAGGCCCGGGAAGCCGGAAGGGCCCGCAGCGCGCCAGCGCTCGTGGGTGGGTGTGAGCAGGTGGCCGTGGGAGTCTGCCGGGCGTGCCAGCAACTGTGCCAGGAGCGGCTGGCACAGGCTCGTGCCCAGGAGGCGGGCAGCTGCCAGCCCCCCGCTCGTGCAGAGAGGGGGGTGAGGACACCCCCCAACCGGGGCTCACACCGCCTCCTCCCACACCCCCACCAGCCCTTGGGGCTGGGGATCCCCAGAGGACAATGGAGGAGGAGTGAGCCCTGCTGGAACGGGCTTGGGGGGAGATGAAGAGGGGTGGCCTACACTCATAACCATGGCTCAGCACGCTGTAGCAGGACCCTGCTCCTGGGCTGTCAGCTCTGTCTTTCCTTTCAGGACCCCACCCCACCTGGAACTTACTGGGCCAGATGGGGTAGCACCACCCCTCCACAGCCAAGCTACCCCAGCCCCTGAGAGAGAAGGGATGTCCCCATCCACTGAACTCCTTCTCACTAGGCCTGGGGACAGGAATGGGAGGCGCCCAGGCTTGGGCTGGGAGCTCCCAATGGAGCTGGCAGCCAGGAAACACAAAAGCAGGCAGAACAACTCCAGAGGTGCCAAGTAAGAGGAGCATTAGGACTCAGAGCAGCCTGGAAGGCTTCCTGGAGGAGTCCAGGGCTAAGGAAAACTGGAACTGCAATCTGAGAGGAATTGGGAAGCTCTACCCAGACAGCGGCATTTTGGGGACACTGCACAGGGAGAGGGACCTCTTGATAGAGCATAGGTCCCAGGCCTGGAAGGTAACACAACCAGTCCCTTTGAGGGATGGGGGTTCCCAGCGCTGAACACAGCCTCTCCTTAGGCTGGGTTGAGTGTCCTGACCCTGCTGCTCCAGTCTCCTCCAACTCCTGTCCTTAGTACCACTCAGTTACCTCTTTGTCAGCTCTTCCTGATCAAGCCCACTCTACCTTTCCTATGCCACCTTCCTGCCATGCCTGGTAGTCTTTGGTTCCAGCCTGGCACACCCAAATCAAACATGCACAATTCTACCTACCTGCTTTGAGTATACAGTCAATACCCCCTAGAAGTCTATCTCCCAAATTCTCCTCTTCCCAGTGAAGGCATGCCCAGATCAAGTGTCACCTCCTCTGTAAGGACCCCCTGGCTCTCCAGGGGATCTAACTCACTTTCTCTGTACCCCTGCCATTACCCTCAGCCTTTCCTGTCTGCAAAGCATAGGTCCTGGGTGTGGAACTAGCTAAGCCCTGATGCATTCCAAAGGTAGATCTAATGCTTTCCCCTTTGGAACCCATACCCTCTCTAACAGGGTTTGGCACACCCCAGGATTTTAAGTGCAACACCTTTGTGGGGAAGGAAGTAAAGAAGGAACAATGGGCCCTGGTCCTAGCTCTGGTACCTGAGATGTACCATGGCCCCTGTCAACCTAAGACTGGCTGGGATTTGGGGATGGCTCCTCCATCAGGGCCCTGGAGGAACTGACTGGGAAAAGGGAAGGGGCTCAGGGCAGGAATAAGAGGGGAAAAGAGGCTCCCTGGGAAACAGGGTGGGGGTTGAGGTGAAAGAAAGACAGCCACGGAGGGGACAGCATGGGGCAGACTCCCCCTCCAGGGCTTGGGTGGTGTCTGCCATGGCCTAAATCAAGAGCCCAAGCCTGAAGCTCCCTCTCCCAGCCCAGTCCAGGACTGGGAGTCCAGTGCAGGAGAGCCAGTGTGTCCCCAGCAGTGTGGTGCAGTGGAAACTGCAACCAATCAGCAGGCGGCGGTGGGAGACCTGGGCCCTCATCCAGGGCCTGCTGTTCACTGATGCCCTGAGAAGAGTCCTGCCCCCTTCCCAGGCCTCAGTCTTACAGTCTGAGAAATGAACTCATGGGACCAAATCATCTTCAAGCACATTCTCAACCACATTCTATGATTTATACCTGCCCCTGTTCAAATGCCTTCAGCATTCCCTCCCACTCCCAAATGCCAGCAGGACATTTCAGAGATGCAGGGGGCTCTGCAGGGAGATACACTTCAGCTGGAGTCCAGCTTCCCCACCTACTAACTGTAGGTGACCTTAGGCAAGTCAGTCTTCTATACTGGACCTCAGTGCCCTCATCTGGTCACAGTAAAACCGCCTCAGGCACTTTTGAGAGCAGTAACTAAGATGTGTGACGGTGTCTGGCACAGACCTTGGCCCACGACCCTCGGTGACCTACAGGTCCTTCCTGACTTCTAGCCTCACGCCCCCTCTTTTCATTTCTCCCTATCCTCTCTAATCCATCAAGCCCACCAGAAGTTATACCTCCTGCAGGAAGCCCTCCTGGCCTTCTCTGGCCCTCTGTACTCTCCCCTGCTTCAACATCCTCTGCACCAGCTATTCATTTCTTCACTCTTTCACTAGGCATGCACTAGTGGCTTCTTGATGTCAGGTTCTCTGCTGGGCACAGGATAGCTCTGACACTACCACTGACACTACCTCTGCCACTTCCAAAGGCAGGCTGGGGAGGGAAAATGAGATATAACACAAACAGCTAAAACCCATCGCAGGCATGGAGAGGGCCAGTGAAGAGAGAAGTCTAAGCTGGCTAAAAGGGTTAGGGAAGGCTTCTTGGAGGAGGCGTCCTGAGCTCTGTGTCCTTGAGGACAGTGAATACATCTACAGGGAGAAGAGGAAGGTGGGCCAGAGCATGGGGTGTGGGAGGGAGGAGGGAGCAAAGCCCAAGGGCAGGACACACTTGGAGAAATAAGTGTTCTGGTGAGGATTGAGCATAAGGATGGTAGAGGAAATGGGGAAGGAGATCTAGGTCTACTTCTCCAGCCTGAATTCTTGCCCATAGTGGCCCAAAAGAGACACAGGCATGAAAGCCATGGGCTCCCAAGTCAGGAAATCATGGCGCCTACAATGCTGCTCCTGGGCATCTAGAGCACCAGGGGCACACCTCCTTCTCCTGACCCTGCTTGCAGCCACCATAGGACACAACCCTCTAGCTTGATATAGATATAGGCATGTCTCCCTCCCAGAGACCCCCTCTTCTATAGGAAGCCTGATGACTTACCCCCTGGGCACAGGGCTCCCTCCAACTTCCTCTTCCTGAAAGGCCTAGGCTCTCCCCATTCTCAAACAAGATAGCCAGCGGAGGAGGTGGGTCTGGAGGCCACAATCCTATCAAGCCCCTGTCCTTTCCCAAGATGGCTCCCCCCTTTACATGGGCTGGCACTGAGGCCTTCCTGGGGAACCCATGCACTTCCCCAACCCCTAAATGCATGTGGGCTCAGGAAGACAGGGAAGTGGCAGATGGGCAGCCTAGTTAGGCAAGGACAGATCTCCAACTCTCAACAACTTGCCCTCATACCGGCAGGGGTCATCACCAGTGCCCCCATACCAATCCAGGTAAGGGGGTCAGCAGCTGCCCCATGGAGAACTCAGATCTCAGGTCACCTGCTGAGTTCCCCACCCCAGTCTGCTTGGTGCCCTAGGGTGAACTCCTGGCACCACCAAGAACTGAGCCCTATGGTCACATTCTTCACCCTGGGGACAACTCCAGGAAGGACAGAGGAAGAAATTTGGGAGGGAAAGCAATCACTGGCCCCAAGTCATTATTTCAGCTCTTTAAGGAGGATGTCCTGGCAGAAAACAAGAGTAACACAAAGCAAACTCAGGAGAGGAAGGGGAGGCTCCCCAATGCCCATGCCTGAGAATGGGCTCCTCTGCTATGTCCCCAAAGATGGGCTGGGGATGTTCCTCAGAGACGCTTCAAAGTGACAGTCCCTCGTCACCCCGCTAGACCTCCCACCCTGTGTCCCTCCCCGCAAGGGAGTACCACACAGCTGCTCCCAGCACGCCCCCGCCTGTCCGCTGGCCAGCCCCACGCCCAGGGCGCACACTCCGTGACCCCCGGGGGTGCCAAAGAGCTCCCTTCCCGATGGTCCACCTAAAGCCTAGAAGAACCTATCAGCCCCTGGAACCCCCAGTCGGCGTTCGTCCCCAAACCCCCTCCCCAGCGGGACGCCCCCACCTTCCAGCCGGCCGAGCTGTTGCTGTCGCCTTTATCCTTGAAGTAGGGCACGTAACGGACCATCCAGTCGTAGATCTGAGAGAGCGTGAGCCGCTTGTCCGGGGCACTCTCGATGGCTTTGGTGATGAGGTCGGCGTAGGACAGGTTCCCCCATGCGTTCCGCCGGGAGCTCTTCGCTTTCCGCAGCGGTCCGACCTCCGCGCCCAGCGGCGGCGCTGGGGCCATCACTGGGGCTGTCGCCCGGCGCTCCGGCCCGCAGTCCTCGGCGCCCTCAGCCACTCCAGCGCCCAGCGCCCGGTCCTCGTCGGCGGCCAAGTCGGGCTGCGGCAGTGGCCAGGTACACGAGCGCGGCCGGCTCTGCGGCGCGAAGTCCGGGTCCACGTCCACCTGATGCGCTCGCAGCTTTGCAGCCATGGTCCCGCCGGGCTCCGGCGAGGAAGGGAGGGAAGCTCCGCGGAGGGTGGGCGGGCGGCTCCGGGATCTGCACGCCCTGGGGAGGCCCGCAGGAGGGGTCCCTGGCGACGCTGGCTCAATTGCGGGGCGCCATGGGCTGGGGCGCAGAGGCCGGGGGCTGGACGCGCTCCGGAGCACGCAGGGAGGGAAAGACCCAGGCAATGAGGGGGCGGCGGCCCGGGAGCCCAGAGGGCACACACCTCGCCCAGCCCCGCTTCTAGCACCTGCCGCCTGCCTGTGCCTGCAGCCACCACCGCCACCGCCGCTGCCGCCGCTCCCCGGGCACCGGCCCTGCGCGCGGGCCCCGCTCTCCCGGGACGAGGCTGAATTGCACCATGCCGGAGCCCAAGCCGGTGCCGGAGCCCGCGCCGCCGCCGCCCCGTGAATGCCGCCGCCGCCGCCGCCGCCGCTCCGGCTCCAGCACCAGCTCCCGCGCCTGCCGCGCTCAGCGCCGGCTGCACCTCAGGATGGGCGGGGGACTGGGAGGAGGCGGACCGGGGAAGAAGAGGGCGGGGCGTGCTCGCCCGCGGTTCGGGAATCCTAGGCTAGCCCGGGTGCCCCAGCCGCGGGCTGTGGGTGGGGGCGTAGAGCTCCAGGTTCCAGGCGACCCAGCCGCAGCCCCTGCACGCAACAGCGCCGCCTATGGAGCAGGGAAGGAGCGGCGGCGCGACCCCGCCCCCTGCTTGGCGCTCGGGGAGGGGGGGGCGGGGTCCCAGTAGTCCCATTGGTCCATAGGAGGCTGTCCCGCCCACGGACTCGACAGGATCCCTCCCAGAAGCGCGTCAGCGGGTTATTGTTACAACCCGGGGTTTCCCGGGGCAACGGGAATGGGGCGGGGCTAGGAACTCTAGCCCCGCCCTCCACTCTTGGGAGGAATGCCCCGCCCGCTGTTTCTAGACCCTTGGCTTTTCCAAGTCTCGATTCCAGCAACCTGATAGGGCAGGCAATCAAAGTCTCTCTTCTTTGTGCCCTGGCATAGTTTTGGAGCTCAAAGTTTAACGTGCAGCAGAACCATCCTCAGAAGCTTGTTAAGATTGCTGGGCCTCAATTCTAGAGTTTCTGATTCCGCAGGTCTGAGTTAGGGCCCCAGATTTTGCATTTCTAACCAGCTCCCAGGTGATGCAGAGGGGATCACACTTTGCTAACTCCTGTTTGAGAGTGTGGGAGGGTCTCACAGGAACCGTTGAAACAAGCTCTTGCCTTCATAGTGTGTGGGGAAAAGCATCTTGTTTGGCTAATGGATATTTATTGAGCACCTCTGATGTACTAGACACTGTCCAGGGCAGGAGGAAGAGAGCAGCAACTGAGACAAATGAGGTCCTGACTGCATAGACTGTTGGAAGAGTCAGATGTAAATCAGATCATCACATGACCTCAAAAGGGGGAAGAGTTAGCTGAGAAGTTGGGCAGTGCATGACCTCATCCCATAGGGTGCTGGGCTAGGTTCCAGCCACCAGGACACCCGCCAGACTTAGCTTAAGATATCTACACCGTCTGCCTAGTATACCCTTTCCTCTTCTCAAGCTCCTCTTAGGAGATTGTCCTATTCTTGAAAGCTCAGCTCAAATGTCAACTTAGCCTTCCCACCTTCTCTATCCCCAACTTCCAACATTTTTCTGTCTCCTGCTTACTCAACCACTCACTGCCCTTGTGTCCCATTGGCATAATATTCCAACTTTACCAATCAGGAAACCAAGCCCCAGAGTGTGGAGGTGACTTGCCTAGATGGTATGGCCAAGACTAGAGTTCCAAGCTCCTGACTCCCTCACCGGGCAATGACTTACTCCTGGGGAGGCTGGGCAGTGGGAAGGCTGGGGCCAGGCCATGAGAGACAGTCCTCTGCTCTCAAAAATTCCTTCCTTCCAGCTTAGGACTGGAGGAGCAGGACCATGGGTGAGAGTCAAGGTAGGGCTGAAGGGACCCCTCCTCACCTGTAGGGTTGGGAGCAGGCCCACTTGCAGATGCCTGGCATGGAATCTGCCTGAGTCACATCCTGAGGGTGAGGGTGGACATAGGAGCTATTGGCTGACTCCTCCCCATTCACACGAACACACATACACACACTCTCCAGGTTGTTCTGTTTAGTGTCACAGGGGACCTGAAATCACTGCTGGACTCCCTTCCATAGCTGTCATACTGCCCTCCCTGCCCAGGCAGGATGCCCCCTTCAGGTGCCCTAGAGACTAGGAAAGCCTCCTGCTAGTCTCCAGCCCTGGCCCAGTTCTGACTGTGAGACAAGGGCCTGCTGGAGGACATACCAGAGCTGGGTGGATCCTTAGCTGGGGGCCCTGGCACAGACTGCCACTGTGGGGCTGGGAAGCCAGGTTGGCAGAGGTGCCTTAGAGGCTGACTCAGACTCTTGCTTGGGCCCTTGCCCTGCCCAGTGTCCACAGCTGCTGCCTGGACTCTCCTCTGGGGCCCATGTCTGGCACACTCAGCACCCCCTTCCAAACACTCAAGCTCACACCACCAGTGCACACTGACAACATTCTTCTTCACTCATAACTTGGCTCCTGCTCACACATTCATTATGAAGCAGAATAACATAGAGATTAAGAATATGGGCAAGTCAGTTATGTGCTCAAAGCCACTATTTCCTACTCTGTAAATGGCTACTGTAATAGCACTACCTTCATAGGGTATTTGAAGAATTAAATAAGTTTATGAATGTCAGCACCAGGTTCAGCATAAGCACTCAATAAATGCTAGTGGTTTTTGTCACTTTCATTGTTGTACATACATCTATTCCCTTCCTACTTTTCCCAAGTCACACAGTCCTACCTGCTCTTGCATCCCCCTCACCACCACCACACACTGGCTCACTTGCCATATGACAGACACTTGAGTCCCAATTACACAGACCCTCCACCTTCTTCTTATTTTCCCTCGAACACTCAGCTCTCATGTTCCCCACCCCAAGCTCCCATCTACCTCCTTTCCATGCCCACACTCATTCCTGCTCACAGACAAGTCCCTGCTTGCTTCCCCTTTCATTTCATTCTTCCTTCTTTCATCCACTTTTTCACTCATGCCATTCTGTGCATTTAAACAAGCTTACATTCCAATGCACACACACCGCTTTGCCCACTCACTTATCGATGTGTACTTTACCCACTCAACTTACACTTGGGTCATAAAAATGTATACAGCCAAACATTCCCAGTATGTGTCAATTAGTACCTCAATTGGTCCATGCTCTTCCCATGATGAGCACACACTAAACATTCCCCGCAGTGCACACTGCCATTGGCAGACCCCCCCACCCCCACCCTGGGACTGCAGTGACACTTCCTCCCCCTCCTGAGACTGCCTTCTCCCTGCTGCTTCCCTTCCTTCAGTCTCAGCTCCCCAGCCCCTCCCACCTCTCAGAATAGACCCTGCCACTACTGCTTGCTGCCACTCCTGAGCTGTCATGGCCCGCCAGAGCCCGCTTCCCCAGTGCTCAGTGCCAGCTCTCCCAGCTCTCTCAGGGCAAGTGAGGACAGGAGTACGACAGCTTTTCTGAGGTCTGATGGGCGTGGCTGCTCTGTATCCCCAGCACCCCCCTTCTAGGGCCTATCCCACCTGGAAGAAAGTTAGCTCTGAGATTTGTTGGCCACTACCACTTGTACAGGCTTTGCATGTGTGCCCTGTCCTCATACCCCCAGCAGAGAGGTAGAGAGCAGAGAGGACTCTGAGGAACCCAAGTCTGGGAGGAAAAGACTTACTCCAGCCAGAGAGGTGAGTTGGGAGCTGAGCCAGACCACAACCCACCCATCAGTTCCTAACTCCTCACAAGGGGGCTCAAGAGGACCACCCCCTAAACCACACAGTTACCAAGAATCCCCACCCTCCCTGTGCTGAACAGAGCCTCTTCGACATTTGATGCCACAGTTGTTAGGAAAAAAGAATAGCTTAGGAGTGATGTTTGGGGACACCTCTGGGCAGGGGGAGGAGCTGGTGCCCAGAGGAGGCCTCCAGGGGCAGAAAGGGGGAGTGTCTGCAGAAGCTAGAGGGGATATCAGGACAGCTGGGATAGCCTCCAGGGCAAGCTCAGGCTCAGCCCAGGCAGGGACAGAGGGTGGGGCTGAGCTGAAGAACCATGGCTGAGGGGACAGTACACAACGCAGCAATGCAGGCCCTGTGAGAAGACCCAAGGCCTCTTCAGCTGCTCCACAGCTGGGCAGAGAGTTCTGCTGGCTTTGGGGAGGCAGCTTGGACCAGTGACAGCTGGGTGCCCAAGAACCCAGGGCCCAGGACCAAAGGACTCTGTGGCTTCCTTGGCTGGGGGCTGTGCCACCACCAACAATGGTAGAAAATTAGTGCCAACATGAGCTCCTCTTACAGGCCAAGCCCATTCCTCATGTCATCCTAGTCAATCCTGTATTCCTAGCGCCGTAAGTTTCATTGAGCACTTACTAAGTGTTGGCCCCTGCATTACCCCCCAAAGCAGCTAGCCACTTGAGAGCAAGAACTGGACCCATCTTCTTCACTGCTAAAACTACAGGGCCTAGTAGGGCAAGGGCTGGCACAGAGGACACATTCAGCAAATATTTGTTGAATGAAGGAATGAGCTCATTTCATCTTTACAACCATCTTCACAGGGCACTGTGAATATCAGCTTTAGATGGAGGCTTCGAGAGTATCTGCCTCAGCCCTTCCACCCAGTATCTTCCAGAAGCAGATACTATTATTGCCACTTTCTGGATGAGGAAAGTCTCTTTTCCAAGGCTTGGTCTCTGCATCTATTAAATGGAAATGGCTATACTTACCTCAAGATACCATATGTGAGATGCCAAGCACAGAGGTTGACAAAGAGCAAATGTCAAAGAATGTCCATTTCCTGTCCTCTGCCTTTAGTTTGTTGTGATAATGTGAATTTCAGCAGAACTGCACCTGGGATCCACGATGCCTGTAGTCACTCCTCCTTCTGTACGTACCATGGGAAGGAAGTATATTAGTTTGTTAGGGCTGTGTAATAAAGTGCCACAAACTGAGTGGCTTGAAACAATAGGCATTTATTTGTCTCACAGTTCTGGAAACTAGAAGTCCAAAATCAAGCTGTTGGCACGGCCACACTGTCTCCGAAATCTCTAGGGGAGGAACCTTCCTTGCATCGTCTAGGTTCTGGTGGCTGCCAGCAATCCTTCGTGTTCCCTGTCTGTACACACATCACTCCAGTCAGGAGACAGGCAGACCCAGATTTAAATTCTGCCTCCTTTGCTAAGAGGCTATTTGACTTTGAAT